CACTTACTTTGAGGTGTGTATGTAGAATGTTGCTGGTTGATGATGATGATGATGGGAATTAGAAGTGGGGGGTGGAGGAGAAGGAAGTGTGGATGGAGGAGAGATCGCCTTTCTTTGGACCCATGCTTGATGCAGTAATTTCACCAATAAAATTTTAAGTTCACTAGCTGTAATTCAAGATTATTTTATTAAAATCAACACTGCACTGTGCTATATACAGTTAACCCTCACTTTACGCGGTTAATGTAACCCGGAGGGTACCGCGGAAAGCGAGAAACGCGTAAAGTGAATAACATAACATATGGGATTAATTGAAATGGAGTCCAGGCCGATCCCCAAGCTCCACTTTTTGAAGGCACATAACTATGTTGTAGTAAAAATAACATCTTAATTTTATGATGGTACATGCACACAATTAATACTTAAGAGAAATAGAGAAATACAGTCGCCAAGATAATGTCCATTCAAATAATGGACAGGACTCCCTCCCCCTCTCACACTACACTGCCGGCTCTTCCCTCTCTGAGAAATTTTTGGAAAACCAGGTATAGTAATAAATAATACCTCAAACTAAAGTTAGGATAATATAATTGACATTGCTGGATTCCTTGTAAGACCAGGAATATTTTGAATATAAATGTCATATATTTTTCACAAAAGATAACATACTTACTCAGATTAAACATTTTATCTAAAAATTTTATGTCTAATGCAAAATATATGATGTTTATATTCAAAATGATCACCAAATTGTAAGAATTCCAGCAATGTAAATTATATTCTGGCCGGGTAATTTGTATGAATTTTATGAGCTAAAACAAATATCTTCAGTTAATAAAAAAAAAAATATTCTTCACAACACTATCTGTCAATCAAAGTACCCCACCTTGCCTCCCCCCCTCTTCCAACCGCGCGGTCAGTCCCAACCCTCCCCCCCCACCCCCCACCAATCCTCCCTTTAACCCTTTAGGTGCGTAATTAAATTTCGCGCCGGTTCCTGAAAAGTGTCAATTATCCTGCCAAAAATGAATTTCATATAATCACATTTTCTATATGTTTTTCCTAGAGAACTTTTAGTATATTTTCCAAATCTGGAATAAAAATTCACATATGTGTGCAAATTTTAGAGAAAAAATTACATTTATATCCAAAAATGCAGGAAATTGGTATAAATCAATGTCTGGTATATGGCAAATAAATTTTATCAATTTGGTTACTAAACAGCAAATTTAGATATGTATTACATATTCAGATAATATCAAACAAAATAGTACAAAAATAAGCTATATTGCATTCAGGAAATACTCCTATACCTCAATACATAATATGTCCGCATGTCGTCTCATTTGGGGAAGTTTTTTCAAGGCCGTGGGATATCCCCGCTTGTCGCATTTAATTAATATAATATTTTGGGCGGGTTTACCCGCATGTCGCATCCAAAGGGTTAAGAGATGTGGGGTGAAAAATTTAGATTTTAACATTTTGTATTAAATAATACCTCAGATTAAAGTTAGGATAATATAATTGACATTGCTGGATTCCTTGTAAGACCAGGAATATTTTGAATATAAACGTCATATATTTTGCACAAAAGATAACATACTTACTCAGATTAAACATTTTATCTAAAAAATTTATGTCTAATGCAAAATATATGATGTTTATATTCAAAATGATCACCAAATTGTAAGAATTCCAGCAATGCAAATTATATTCTGGCCGGGTAATTTGTATGAATTTTATGAGCTAAAATAAAAATCTTCAGTTAATAAAAAAAAAAATTCTTCACACGGTAACAGATGGTCGGTCGCCGGTCCCTCCCCCCACCCCCCACCAATGTCCCTACTAGATAAATGTGTGGGAATACCAGACTGTTTACCTTTTTAGTAATAAATAATAAATCAGACTAAAGTTAGGATAATGTAATTGACATTGCTGGATTCCTTGTAAGACCAGGAATATTTTGAATATAAATATCATATATTTTGCACAAAAGATAACATATTTACTCAAGAGTAAACATTATATCTAAAATTTGTATGTCTAATGCAAAATCTATGATGTTTATATTCAAAATGATCATCAAATTGTAAGAATTCCAGCAATGTAAATTATATTCTGGCCGGATAATTTGTATGAATTTTATGAGCTAAATTAAAAAAAAATATACTTCACCGTGTAAAGGGGTACATCCACCGCGGAATGTGAGCATCCTGGGTTCTGGCTGGGCACCGCGTAAACGTGGAAACGCGGAATGTGGGACCGCGTAAAGTGAGGGTTGACTGTATTATCAATATGTTAACCAAATTTCAGAATGACCAATAATTTTAATGTAAAAATATTCAAGACCCCAACAAAATCGATATTCACTCCACTGTAAACAAAGTTAAACAGACGCTTTGGTGGGTGAGTCAAGTGGCTGATGGGCGCACAAAAAACTAGTTCCCTGTACTGCATATATTATCAAAATGTTAACTAAATTTTAAAATGTCTAATAATTTTAATATAAAAATATTAAAGAGCACAACTTTCTTGATGTTTCTCCACTGAAAACGAATGTAAACATAGAACCGATTACTGAATTGGCAGACTAGCCCATCAGCTGATGCTCGCAACAAAACGTGTTTGTCGTAAGGATTTCGTTAATCGAAGTTTTGTTCTTTAACCGAATTGAAGATCCTTATGGGAGGTAATTCATTAACTGAAATTTCGTTAATCGAACCCTTCGTTAACTGAGGGCCGACTGTATACTGCTTCCCTGACCACGTGGCTCCATGCTCTGCATGCCACAGCGGCGACAGTGTTCATCACTCAATAACTCACGCTCACGCCAGCCATGAATGAACATGTCACACCGCTGTCGCTCCAGGCGGACTGAGGCGGAATACTCGCAACTCGCTGTCGAGTATGAGCGTACATTAGAGCTTACCCCAGATAATTTTTCTGAGTCGGATAATGATCCACTCTATGGTCAGAATACTTTAACTTCTTGTTAAATAGGTGAGGGAGATGTTTCAGACGTACTGGCATGAACACCATGTAACACCTCGTAATCCAGCTCGTGACACACTCTCTGCCTCAGAGGTCGCCACTTTCCTTCCACCTTACCACCAGCACCTGGCAAGAAGAAAGCACAGAAGCAGTGTCACGTCTGCTACAACACGTCACGAAGAGCAAAGAAGAGGAAGGATACTCGATACTGCTGTAATGAGTGTAAAGTAACAATGGTTCAAGGACTATCACACTCTTCAGAACTATTAGTGTAATAATATGATGTGAACCAGGCAGTGGCAGGGCTGCCAGGACACCCTCCGTAGCCTTTACCATCCACAGACACGGATAATACCCAATTGTATGCAATTGGGGGGGGGGACTTGCATAAGCAAACATCATAAAAAATATAAACTCATAGCAGTGTTTTATTAATTTTCTAACATGCATATTGATTAATGATTGATGTGGGTGGAATAACCTGAAATACATTAAAAGAAACACACACACGAGTCACGAGGTGTTAGGAAAGTGGAGAACTGTCAGAGTGGCGTGGGGGAGGAGCATGACTCAGCTGATTGCCATGGTGATGGGAGCCGTGACACCCTCCCTACCTCCTCCACCACCATTCACTACGCAGTGTTACCACATAGACGCGGGAATTCTTGTGATTTTCATGTTTCCTGGACCACTTTCAGATGATTTAGGGAAGAAAAAAAAATAAAAAATTGGCCAGCACTGGGGTGTCTATTACGTCTGATATTGGCTGGCTCTCAACGGGTTAATGTGTCAGGTCATGGCGTGAGGTTGGGCCCCCTGCCCCTCCCTCCGACTTTCCTCCGTAATCCCTGACCTGAAATTTACTGACCTGACCCAGCTCTGATGAATGACACCTGACTAAATTCTAGCATTAAAATTATGATTTAAATTCATAAATATTTACACTCTCCTTGAATAATTTACTTATGTTTTAATCCAGTGGCGTCTCACTTTATAAATACAAAGCTCGAATATTTTTTTTAATTACCTGTACCTTTTGTATTGATCATGATGCAAAAAGGAGTTCAGCCAAGATATTTTCGCAGGCCACACATTAAGTGTCAAAGAGCTGCATGCGGCTTGCGAGCCGCGTTTTGGCCATCCATGGATACTTAACAGTGGAGTTGATATACATAAATATGATAAGGGAGGGAAGCAGTACAACATGAGTTGTATTAAGGTGGAACAAGAGGACAGAGCTGTTAGTATCATGTCAAGTTGGAAAATATATTTATTGCAATGGTAATTTCTATACTGTATATCTACCCGGTACATGATAATTTCTGATAAAACGGTTTTGGTGGTACAATAAAAGCAGGAATATAAAGTAGGTATTACACAAACTATTAATACTTAGACAATAGATATTTTTTAAGGGATGATTTAAAGAAAGGGAGCGTAGTCTTTGCTCACATGGGTGGGGGTAAGTTCCACACCTTCACACCATGATATTTTATGGTCTAGGACTGAGAGAAGCACATGGGGGTGGTCTTAGTAGGTCTGGGTGTCTTAAGTTGTATCTGATTATTCTGGAACTGCAAATAATTATTGGCAAGCAAGTGATTGACAGATTTGTCAACAAATAGGGCACAGCAGTAGGTAAAAATTAAAAGGGAACAGAGGGGAGGTGACAGTAGCAACCAGCCCTCAGCCAGTCGCCAGCATGTTCCGCGCACTACCTGCCACTCACACCATGAACAATCTCCTTTTGACACCACAGATTCTATACCATTAGCTGAAGGTAAAGAGAAAAAAGACATGATATTCACAAAGCATATCCCAGGCTTTAAGGGTTAAGTAAATAATTGCTGGATTATGCACTTGTAACAAATCTCAGTACTTTGCACACCTCTGCATGTTATGTTACTATTATATCTTTTTCAGAATAAACCCTTAATGAATTGAAAATTTGTAGTAGATGGAAAATATAATTTGTAACAATGAACTAAATCTTTATATATTTTTTGCAGATCCTGTTAAGTTTGATGATATTGACATTGAATATGAAGAAATCCCCAAGTCTCCACCCGATGCATCACTGGATTCTGACCCAGTTCCTTCCACATCCAACACTGCCACACCCACAGTTAACGAATCAGGTATGAAAATTAGATATTGACATTTAAAAAATATTAAATACCAATCCTTCACTTTGCCCTGGTTCACTTTGCATTGAAAAAGTTTCCAATTGTAAGGGCTTATTTACTCTGAACTAAATACAAAATAGTCTCTAATCCAAGCACAGTACATCATGAGAGCATGGGTACCAGATGTATGAGGTATGCCTTCACTGATTACAGTTTTTATGGTCAACTAGTCTCATGTTTCCTCCTGTAACCAATCACTACAGGAGGTCTGGTAGTTGGTGAAATTATTGAAGAAAAGAATTTGGTGGGTGGAGCTTGGTAATGCCAAGGTTGCTGCCCTTGGTAAATATTAAACTGAATTACAGTACAGTGACCCCTCGTTTAACGAACACCTCGGTTAACGTAATTTCGATTAACGAACTGCCTTCCATAAGGATCTTCAATTCGGTTAACGAAGTTCTTACGAACCGACCTCAACATGTTTTCGCTTGCACTGACCGGGCAACCAGCTTTAGTATCAGTCCGCCAATACATTAATCGGTTCTAGGGCTTAAATTCCTTACTATTTTAGTAAATATCAAGAAGTTTATACTATTCAATAATTTTAAAAGTTTAATATTCAATTTTTTAGTCATTTTAACAATTATTGAACATAATTGAAGGTAAAGTGACTAGTTTAATGCGCGGCATCCAGCCTCTTAACACAGCAAACAGGAGTTAGTCTCTCTCTGTTTTCACTGGAGGTAACATCTTGCTTGAGACTCTCTTCAACTAAACGCTTTTTTTCTGTGTTTCCAAGCAAATTATTGGTCATTTTGAAATATATTTTACATATTGACAATATATAATGCAGTGCAGTGTTGATTTAAAGAAAATAATCTTGAATTACACCAAGAGAGCTAAAATTTTATGGGTGAAATGGCGCCATGTGGTGACTTCTCTTCCACCCCAATGCCTTCTCTTCTTCCTTCTCCTCCACCCCAATTCTAAATCCCATCATCATCATCATCATCCAGGAGCCTTCTACATACACACCTCAAAGTAAGTGAATTTTTCTACCATTTTTGTTGAATTTAGGAAATTTTCGGTGAGCTGGAACCAATTACCCAAAAACCCATTGAAACAATGGTTTCGGTTAACGAACTTTTCGGTTAACGAACGATCTTCTGGAACGGATTGAGTTCGTTAATGGAGGGGTCACTGTACAGTGATATCCCCGTTAGCTAGAACAATTGGTGCTGAGCACTTCTGGGGACAGTGGTACTTCGTTATTTAAGCTGAAACTGAAATACATCCAGTGTCACACATATGTACACTATAGATACAGGCTATATATCTAAGTCGGAATTGTATAAAGCATTTTAGAATCACGGGAAGACCAAGCCTCTGAAGGAAAGTTGGGGGAGAAGAGAGGGGATAAGAGGGTAGGTTAGGAGCGGTGATTGGTCAAGGTGCTAATGGACACGAGAAGATCAAAGGGAAAGTCCGTTGTCCTGGCCACTGCCACTTGACCTGACCTGACCTCACGTCATCTCACATCATGAGACCTCTAGGTATGTGACCGCATGGTGTCTCCCCACACCATACCCAGCACAGCTCCGCCCACACAACACTTTTACTGTGGTTAATAATTACTGTAAGTAACTGAATAGTATATTATTAATTTGCATGTACTGTAATGAGTCAGGATATTTGTTTTTTCAATTGTATTGGAGTAAAGGTATTAGAAAACCTTACTAAAGTAAAAGTACAGTAATCCCGTGTTTTTTGCGGGAATTACGTTTCTGAAACCCTCGCGAAAAGCCAAAACCGCGAATACTTTTTTAGGAATCACTGTACCTGTGGCCACCAAACAGCTCAGGTAGGTCATGCACCTAACCACACCATGATCTCCACTCACGGCCCAGTAATCACACTGATCACTGATCCACTGTACCGGCATCTACTAACATCATTATTTGAAATTAATCATATTGTAGTATAATAATGGAAAAACGTAAACACAGTTATATACAAAAAAATTTATTTACAAGTAAATAAAAAAAATTATATTTTGCTGAGTTCGGCAACACCCGCCAGCCTCTCCCTGCTGTCCCGGCGTGTGCCCGCCCTCACGCCAGCCAGCCAGTCCTCTTCCACCCACATTTCTCCACTTGAAGACTTGTATTCTGACAAAAGACACAAATGAATTGTCAGTCTTTACCACATCTCGAGCCAAACAGACATTATAAAAACTCTCATGCTCTGAGAAACAACATTATTGCTCGGGATTAAGTAGCCTAATTAATAGGTTTTGCTTGTTTCTCTATCTGCCTAATGTTTGTTTTGTTGTTTGTATTTCTATGTGACTTGGGTTTATTTGTTTGTTTATTAAAACTCATGCTCTGTAAACATTATTTGCTCACGATTATGTAATAACTTTTCTTTTCGTTTTCTCTGTCTGCCTAATGTTTGTTTTGTTCTATTTGTCAGTGTTTCTTTATGTAATTGTTTGGTTTACCACGACTGTACTTTGCATACCTTTATAAGTAAAGGCGATGAGCTTCACTCAGAGACATCGGGGGGGTGAGGCGGGAGGGGTGGAATCATCAACTGACACGTCCTCCTTGGATGAGTCAGTAGGAGAGGATGAGTTGCCAGATGTCAACGGCTGAGTAGATGTAGGCCTATGCTGCTTCCTCGTGAAAAACATAGTTATTGGAAGCTATTCTCTTTCACGCTTCAACTCCATCATTATTTCATTGTAGGGAGTGAACACAGCTTCCATCCCATTCTTCAATTTAATAGCTCTGTCGAGCGATGGGTCATAAGACATTATGAGGGAGATGGTATGCCTCAAACTCCGCGTCACTTCCCCAAGCTTCTCCAGCCTCCACACCTGCAGTGCATCGTTGCTTCTCTCTTCTTCCTCCTCTTGCTCTTCTTCTTTAATTAATTTCTCTAATTCATCTGGTGTTAATTCTTCTCCTGCATTACCCAGTAGCTCCTCACGAATTTCATTTTCTAGTAAGTCCGAAAACCCTTCACCACCGACAATTTTTGCGTAACTCTAAATTTTGAAAACTTCAGCATCAGCAGTCGGGAAACGAGAAAAGTCATTAACGAACTTCAGGCCACTGTTTCTGCCAGCTGGAGTTGACACAGCTGGCAGAGAGTTCACCATGGCACTTTTTAAGTCGCGAAATACAGTCGGCGATATTGAATTTTTTCCACCACAACCTGACATCATCATCTCCCTCTCAATGGCCTGTCTGATATTGGTTAAGTTGCGTGCCACGTATTTTGCTTTCAAAAGGGCAGTCACGCCCTGATCAAGTGGCTGGATCAGTGATGTGGTGTTCTTTGGAAGAAACGCTACCTCGACGTTGGGATGCGCAAATTTGAGGGATTCTGGGTGGCCTGGGCAGTTATCAATTGTCAGCAACATCTTCAATCCATATGTTCAGGGCCTTTTCCTTCAAATATCTTTCTACCTCGGGGACAAAACTGTTATGGAACCAGTCACTGAACAGAATAGGTGTCATCCAGGCTTTTTTATTGCTGTGATAGAACACTAGCAGCTGATTTAAGTCCTTCCTTTTGAGTGCAAGTGGCCTCTTAGCCCTGTAGAGAAACATAGGCTTTATCATGTGTCCAGCTGCGTTCCCGCACAACAACAACGATACTCTGTCCTTCTATGCTTTAAACCCTGGTGCCTGTCTCTCCTCCTTTGAAATGAATGTTCTTTTCGGCATTTTCTAACACCAAAGTCCTGTTTCATCCGCGTTCAACACCTGTTCAGGCAGATATTCTTTGTCCTTGATTAATTTTTCAAATTCGTTGGGGTACGCTTCTGCTGCAACATGGTCAGCTGATGCGGACTCACCCGTAATTCTCAGATTGTGCAGACATAATGTTTTCTTTAAATTTTCAAACCACCCTTTGCTAGCCTGAATAGAGTGCTTCCCGTCTTTCTCTCCATCACTAAAATAATCATACAAAACCTTGGCCTTCTCTCTGATGGTAACAGTGTCCACAAGAATATGTCGGCGGTTCAAATCTTCAATCCATATGATCAGGACCTTTTCCATTTTAATTAGAACACTATCACTCACATGCTGGGACACTTTTGCCGAATTTGGTGCACTGCTAGCTACTGCTTTTCTAATTCCTTTTTCATTTTTCTTGATGTAACGCACTGTCGACTCGTTAATTCCGTACACACGACTACACGCTGCATAGCTCATACCACCTCTGAGCTTGTCCAATAAAACTGTTTTTTCCGTTAAGGTCATCACTATTTTTGATCTCTTGGTCACTTCAGAGTCTTTGCTAGTAATATTTGCCGAACCGATCGTCAACCGAGGGACCACTGTATATGTACTGTATTTTGCACACTTCAGGAACCAGCATGAAAAAACTTGCGAATTTGCTTTCTCGCGAGGTTCATTTTACCTAACCCTCGGGAGCTTTAAGGGAATACTTTACCTCGTTCCCAGGTCAATCATGTGACAGAATCATACTGTCAGTGTGTGTGACCATTGCTTTAGGTCGGCTGCAACATCATCATTAAAATTGCATGCTATGCTGAAACTCACCACTGATTGTGATGGAGCCTTCTTATATTTTCTGCAGATGTCACACCATCTTCAATTATATTAAACATCTTGAGAAGTCTCTGATCTACTAGACCGGCATCTGAGCAAAGTGACTGTAATTTATTGCTCCTGGTATGTCCAAATTGCTTGTGTATTTTCTGAGCCATCTTGAAATGGTCACCATATGTTGCCTTTTCAAACTTGCAGCAGAAAAGAATATGTTGGATACAATCCTTGGCACCAGGTAAACTAATTTGGTGGTGGCCAATAGGCACAATACATTTGTCGGATTATGCACTTGTAACAAATCTCAGTACTTTGCACACCTCTGCATGTAGAAGTAATGACAAGTTACTCTGCTTTGTAGATTAGTTCTTGTAGTATACAGTACAGAATATTGTTTTATGTTATGTTACTACAGTCAACCCTCGCTTTACGCGGTCCCACATTCCGCGTTTCCACGTTTACAGGAATGCTCACATTCCGCGGTGCGTGTACCCCTTTACGCGGAGAGCGGCTGGCGAGCCGCGCCATTTTTGGATCCAAACCTCCCGCCATCCGCCATGTTGTGTAAGCGGCGCAAGCATGGTGCGCACAAGGTTGCCCAGTCATCAAAACATTACCGAGTTCTTCACCCGCCACCCACCACAGCCGGCCCAAGTCAGTGATAGTGATAATTATAGTGAGGATATGGCTTGACAGAGGCCCCAGCCTGTGGTGGATAGTGATACTGATACAGGTGAGGGCTAATCTGCCCTCTGCCCGAACCAACCCCCTCATCTCAGCCATCTTTTATCTACTAATGTAAGTGTCCAATATTATTGATATTTCTCTTAATTATTAATTGTGTGTGCATACCATCATAAAGTTAAGATAATATTTTTACTACAACATAGTTGTGTGTCGTCAAAAGTGGAGTTTGGGGTCGGCCCGTCTCTATTTCAATTAATCCCATCTTAATATATTTTTGCAGTTCCTGTGAAGTTTGATGATATTGACATTGAATATGAAGAAACTCTCTCCACCCGATGCATCACTGATTCTGACCCAGTTCCTTCCACATCCAACACTGCCACACACACAGTTAACGAATCAGGTATGAAAATTAGATATTGACATTTAAAAATATTAAATACCAATCCTTCACTTTGCCCATAAAAGCTTCCAATTGTATGGGCTTATTTACTCTGTACTAAATACAAAATAGTCTCTAATCCAAGCACAGTACATCATGAGAGCATGGGTACCAGATGTATGAGGTATGCCTTCACTGATAACACTAGGACAATGAACCCTCGAAGATCCGGACTAAAATGGGGACCACCTGATCGAAAAAGCCGATTGTTAGTATCTTCTGGCTAATGTACTACATATATAAAAACGATAAATAAACAAAAATGCAGTACCATTTTTTTGTGGCATATGTGATGCATCCCCCATTTTAGCAGGTAGTATTAAGGAAAACACCTTTTTGTGTATTTTCCCCATGTAGTCATAGATTTCTTAAAATAATAATATACAGTACCAGGATTTTTTCCTGGAATAGCCCACCTAGGCACAGGTCATCGACCCATAACGGCGCCTGAGGGGCGACAAAATAAGAGTAAAAAGAAATTAAAAATGGAAGAGAAAAAGACTATAATCCAGCTTTTTGAAGTGAGGCAGATTTTAAGAGTACAGAAACACAGAAGAAGGCAGAGCATTCCACAGGTTGGCTGTGTGAGGAAAGATGGATGTACTGTAGCGGGTATTCTAGTGTGACCAACATCCACACAGAAACTGTGGGCACCGCAGGCAAGATGAGTGTTACAAGCCTACAGCCTTGCCGGCAGTACACAAGATGCCAAATACACCGAACATTGCCCGTTATAGTACCTGTAAAAGAGAAAGAGTGAAGCAACATTGTGGTGAAGAGAAAGGGAAGAGAGATTTTCAACTAAAGGAGGAAAGTCAATAAGCCAAAATGCCTTTGATTTCACCCTATCTAACAGTTGGAAAGAAGAAGAGCCACCCCAGATATGAGAGCAGTACTCCAAGATAGGATGAATGAATCCCTATTAAACTTGAAGCAACTGCTCAGGAGTGAAGTAATACGGTATCTGTACAGCATTCCCAGCTTTCGGGAGGCAGCTTTAGCAATGTTCTGGATGTGTGGCTTCCATGCCATTTTAGAGGAAATGTTGAGGCCTAGCATATTTATTTTAGAATTTGGCAGAATGATGTGGTGAATAAGTAAAAATAATACCAATAAACAAGTTCCAACAGTAAATAAAAGCCAAATGAAAGTTTAACACAGTCGCCATTTGCATACACCCCTTGCTTCACCATAGTAACGAAGATCAGCTGGGATGCCGATTCTGCTAGCAACGCTCCCCACCCTCTACACACTGCTCTCTCCTCGCGTTACGTGTTTTCCTTCGGGACAATTATTTCTTTGCATTTTTTTCACAGTATGTATGTACAGTAGGATGGTGTGTGCATTAAACTGAGTGAAAATAGATGATGAAAGATACGTATATCTACCCAAAAATACGAGTTAAAAACAACCAAAACACCACAGCTTGGCCCAGCAGCCTGGTGGTTCCACAGTGTCATGATTAATCACTATTAAGCACTATTATATCAGTAAGAACTCATAATAACAGTAAATCCAGTGAAATACAGCAGGAGAGTTACAAGAGCAGATGACGCTCTAACTAGTGGTCACTCACTCGCTCCCGTTGCCAGGTGTACAATCGGAATACGTATGGGAGAAATACATGTCTTGTAGTCTGGTTTGAAAGTGGTGACAGGCACACTGGTAAGCAAATTATATAAACCGTGCATTTACCTCCAGTAACATAATAACGATAGGGTATTAAAGAATGTTAATCGCAAAGTTCTACATTCGAGGTGCCCCGTAACCTAACCCTCGCGAATGTTGGGGTACAGTGTACCCTCGCAGATTTGGACCCAGTAAATCCGATTTTTGGAAGATTTGGACAAAATTTAGCGGTTCAAGGAGCCAAGAAGCCTCCCTAAGAAGCATTCCCAAAACAAAGCAAAGATCATCTTAGACTCGTGTAACTAAGATATCGGCACACAGGTGCCCGAGGCAGGAAACGCAAACAGTTGTCAGTTTTTGTTTGTGGCAATAATATTTCATTCACTCTAGTAATGGTACAATGTTTCTTAATATTATAGTGTATTGTACCGTAAATTAAGGGAAAAAATACAAATAAAGAACCTCTATTTTTAGCCTTCTAAATACAGTACTATACAAGTATGTACAGTTACTTTATACATTTGTATTATGTGTTAATATAGGATAAATTAAATGAGAAGCAAGTAAATGTGTGATGTTAGGGAAGTCAACTGGATTGGAGTAGTGGTGACACATCATCTGCTGCTTGCCTCACATGGCCTGTACCGTACCACCACCACTGCATCATCAACACACACACACAACGCTGTGAATGAAACATGCGTACATAGTGAATATTAGGTTTTGTAACTAACTTATGACTGGGAAGAATATATACAGTAATTTATCCCAGTCATTAGTGTAATATCAACAGTATGGGAGCAAAATAATTAACAGTGTACTTATGTATATAAAAGCTATGTATATAAAGTGTACTTTTCTTACCTCATAATGAGCTGCTGTAGAGGCCTCAGTAATGATACTGAAGATATTACTGCTCCTCCGTTAAGACCTCTGGACTGGGATCATCTAGAATGTCCAATCAATAAAGGGCTGGTAGTTGAGGAAACCTAATAGGCGGAGTGAAGGGGAGAGGCAGGCTGTGTGCATGGCGGTGATGCAGACGACGCCGGGCTGGCTGGTGAGGAAGGATTTGTTTTCTATGAGCAACACTACTAATTTCCTTGCCTTTCATCTTTATGCTGCTAGCAAGTTTATCTGACACTTCAATTTTCTGTGTCAGTCATGACTTTCTTAATTCTCTCTGCACCAGATGCACTACTTCATACCACCCACCACCACTACCTCACACCAGCCACCACCACTACTTCCCACCACCACTACCTCACACCACCTGACGCCGCACCATCCCCCGCACCCCACTCCCGTGACTACCACCCTTCCCCTCCCTCCCTCCCTACTCTCCACTTTCCTGTACCACCATCATACACTTAACTACTATGTACATAAGAAATGAGTGTCTCTTTTGTTTTTGACCTTATGATCATCATTTCTTTTATTTTTTGCACATCCTACTATATGAACAATTGTGTGTGCATGTAACAGAGTAAAAGAAATTGAATAAAAACACATACATCTACTCAAAATTGCAAGTTGAAAAATAACAACACAACTTCAAGTTTAGTCCAGTAGGGGGAGAGGTAAGGTGGTGGTTAGTGACCTGCCAAGTCCTCACACACATGTTCATTTCATAGGACCTTACTTAGGCCTACTTCACACTAGCATTTTTTGCCTTGCGGGGGATTAGGCATGTGTTCACGTGGGTGTGTTCTTCATGCTTCAGTTCACCTGTATTTGAAAAAATTAATCAAAGGCACTTCCAACCCTGGAAAAACATGTTCATTATATAAAGAATTCTAGAACGCTCGGCATACTTTATCATGCCTCAGTTTGGAAGTACAGGTACAGGCGTGGGGTGAGCGTCTCCTGCACATTCTCTGTCCCATTGAACTTCATTAATTTCTAAACCGTGCATGTGTGAAACGGGCCTTATGTTGGAATATGAGAGCTGCAGCTAGCCCGTCAGATTTTAAATACTGTACTCTATTACTTTAGGATATTGTTTTTCATTTGCAAATATCAAATAGAATGTGTTAAAATATCAATTGCAGATAAGCGGGGTTACAAATAGTGAGGTATTCCTGTACAGTACCTGGAAAAATTACCGGGATATGCCATTTTTTTTACAAAGATGAGAAATTCGTCTCCATACCAGAAAATCTATTATTTCCGGAAGAGCTCTGCACCAATTTTTCCTGATAATGAGGTTATCACTAGAAATATATTATACAACATGCTATCCAACATATGAGAATGATGACAGGAGACAGAACATTGACTAGGTTTACACTTAGTATGCTTAACCTGCCAGTAAATGCAGCCAGTATTTATTAATAATGTATATTTATTATTGCACATTTATAGATAACAAACTGTCCCACTCTTTTAATGTGGGGAGAAATGTACCGTATATAATGTATAATGCAAAGGGTAATCTAGTTGTTTGTGATTTATTTGTTACACTGGATCTGTATCTACAGATAAATGCATTTTACACAAATTAATTTTCTATCTCACAGAACTACATCACATCCAGTACAGGGATCATGTCTCAACAATATTGGCAGCCCTTGCTGAGGATGAAGCATTTATGGATGTGACTCTTATTGCTGAGGGCAAGCCCCTCAAAGCTCATAAGGTTAGTCAGTTGATCTTTATCTGATAACATTGTGTATTCATATGACAAAAATAAAGAATGGATTGAAACAGTGAATTCATCTTTTCTAGCTGGGCAGATAAGGTGCTGTTTATTACCCCATAGATTCTCTTCACTTCTTTAACCCTAAAGAGCTTAGATGATAATTTTCCTCCAATAAGAAACATCCTCTGTGGGCTGAGATGAATATGTTTGCCCCACCCTAAATTGCCCTTAATTTGTTCTGGAATTTTTGAGAACCATCTAGCTATTAATATTGAAGTGTTTGGCATCTCTCAAGACAGGAAGGAGAAGAATATGTACGTTGTCACTGTTTAAAAAAAAAAATAAAAAATAAATGGAAAATAAGTACAATATAATAGTACAAAACTATGAAATGGAAACAAAAATGTGTGAGGATATATTCTGAATGGGAGGAAGTGGGAGACGTGACAAAAGAGCAGTGGGCTCGGTGAATACTCCGCCTCAACCGGAGAAAATTCCAGCATTATTATGATGTCACAGAACTTTTCATCACACCGCTGGACATCTAACTGGCACAGATATGCAATTTCTTTGTGATTTCCTTATTTTATTTGTTTAGTTTTGTTGGGAGCTTTTTATCTGGTTTTTGAAAAATCAATTTTGGCCGACCAGGTTTGGATTTTTAAGGCGAAGACAGACTGTAGTCTATCTAGTAGTGTGTAGTGCACTAAACTTGTCAGTAATGACTCGGTATCAATGGAAGACCCTGGATCACCTATTTTTCTGAAAAACCCATTTGACCCCACTTTTTATTGTCCACTACACCAGTTTATAAGATTTCTCCTCCAGTGGAAATATCTTCTTTCTTTCTTCCTTTTTCTTCTTTTTCCTTTTTTCTTTCTTAATTAAGAAAACCCTACTAATTGTACATCTTTAGAAGTGGCTTGTGAATTAGTACAGTGATCAAAGTGTCATCCTTGGGTGTGAAGGTTAGCGACCATGGTCCATTATTCTAAGTACAGTAGTACCCCGATTTACGCGGTTAATTGAACCCATGGGGTACCGCGGAAAGTGAAAACCGCGTAAAGTGAACAACAGAACATATGGGATTAATTCCAATAGAGACTGGCCCAACCCCCAAACTCCACTTTTTCAGACACAATACCTACGTTGTAGTAAAAATTACATCTTAATTTTATGATGGTATGCACACACAATTAATAATTAAGAGAAATATCAATAATATTAGTTTTTTTAACACTTACACTAGTAGAAAAGATGGCTGGGCACACGGGGATGGGGGGTTGGTTTCGAGGCAGAGGGCAGATTATTGGCCCTCACCTGTATCACTTGTATCAATTGTATCACTATCCACCACATAGGCTTGCAGGGCCTCTTTGTCAAACCCCTCAAAGTCCATATAAGTCCATATCCTCACTATCACTGACTTAGGCCGGCTGTGGTGGGTGGCGGGTGAAGAACTCGGAAATGTTTTGATGACTGGGCGACCTTGTGCGCATCCTGCCCGCCCCGCTTCCCGCGTATATGAGTAGATGCACCGCGGAAAGTGAAAGTTCGGTTCTGGCGAGGCACCGCGTAAATGAGAAATCGCGTAAAGCGGGGAAATACTGTAGTGGTTTTGGGCTGTCATTACAAATAAAATTAATTATCTTTTATATCTGGGGACCTTACTTTTATTTCCCTTCAACTGTCCTTTCTCACAAATACATACTCCAACCTCATACATGTTCCATAAGGTAAAACATAACACACTGCAAAACATTGTGATTGTTAATGCCCATTATAATTTTCACTTGGTCTTAGCTGGAGTCAATTCCTAGACATTTTTGGTTTTGTTATTCTGCCCAACATCTCTAACAGAGGGTTATTCACCCTTGTTGCTGCTTTTTTTTTCACATTTAATCTCTTCAGTGTTTCTCTTGGTGTTACACATATGCTCGTTTCCAATTTAAGCTTAGCCAACCAAAGCAGCCAACTCTACTAAGTTGTTGAATTACTTTTACATGGATTTAATCATAAACATCATCTTGAGTTACTTATTAATGATATTTTGTTGATAAAATTAAAGAACTTAAATAAAACTCCAAGTTATCCATTGTTTTAACAAGGATAAAAGGAGAACGTCACCTGAAGTACAAAATTCCATAGAGAAGTTTTGAGGATCCGGTAAAGCCTTGAATAACAACGGTAATGTATCCTCCAATATTGTGGTGTAAGGTGAATCATTAATTACCATTAAAATAAAGCAATAATAATGAGATGCATTCCCAAGTGTGACCTTTTCATACCTTTGTGTGGCTTTGACCCTGTTTTCCCCCAAAACAATACAATTAATGTTTATGAATGCACCTTATACAATGTAAATCAGTAATAATAAGGTCACACAAGAGGAGAAGCGACGCCATTGTTGTTGTCAGTGTTTACACCCATAATGTCAATTATCCATCTGAAACTGAAGAAAATAAGACCCTGGTTGTTGCTGTAGTAAAATTAATGTAAAGAAATATGTATGTCTTAATTAATGATATTTAATGTACAGTAGAAGTAACCACTGATGTTAAAGAAAAAGTGAGACTGATAATGGAACGCCAGTGTATATGTGCGCACTCAAGGAAACATAGTCATTTATTTTAAGAATATGTACAAAAGATTCATTATTGTTTATTACTGAATATGTATTTGATTGAATTAATGTTTATACATATGAAATGGATAATGCAATTCATTAATAATACGTAGAATATTAAAACACACAAGCAGAGAGGGGACGGATTGTTTTCGTTAATGTTTACAACACCCATGACAAATGACGATAGTTCTACGTAAAAAAAATGGAGAAAATAAGACCCTGGTTGTAGATGTAGTAAAATTAATGTAAAAAAATTAGTATGTATGTTTTAAGTAACATTATTTCTTGTTAATAAATGGAACAATAGAAGTAACTAACCATTAATGGTAAAGAAAAATCTAAATGGATTGGGAACCAGGGCTGTGGAGTCGGAGTCGAGGAGTCGGAGGAAATTTCGGCTTGTGGAGTCGGAGTCGGTAAAATTGTCCAGACTCCGACTCCGACTGAAGCTATTCTGTTCCTAAGAACAAATATATGAACTCAGGCATATTCATTGCAGTGATTCCACTGATCCCACTAATTTTCTTAAATTATTAAAAGAATTTATTTCCATTTTATAAGCATTATTATGAATTTATTGTAGAATTTATTGTAGCAGGCACAGTATAGCACTATAATTTTGGACGATAGTCTCTTCTTTACCATTTGAAATTTTGAATTATATCAAATTTTGTTTCGTTGAAAACTGCACAGAGGCTCTCAGCTACAAAACAATTAGCTACAACCTGTTTTTGGTGAGATTAAGGCAAATTTAATTTAATAACTTAATCATGTAAGGTTTATCCATTTTCCTTAATAAGGTATTCATTTCTTTAATGTACATAAATATATAACTTTACTTTAAAAGGAATTGTAGGATCATCATTTAGATCCACATCAGATTATGAGCTTAAACAAAATTCATATGCTGAGATCGAACTTTTAGATATACATGTAAATGGTGTTTTCTAGTTAATATCTTGAATTCTTAATAAATTTATTTTTCTTTTGATTGAAACTTTGCAAGTCAAGCCTATCATCTTTTTGTAGTTCTTAAATATCGTCCAGATCATTAATAAAGCTGTAGCAGTATAGCCACAGTGTTTTACTTTTTACCTATGCAGGTTACAACATACAAATTACAATTAGGATGGTAGAAATAGTTGTTACAAATAGGCCAAGGAGTCGGAGTTGGAAGCATAAAAATTTGAGGAGTCGGAGTCGGAGTCGAAGGTTTTGTCTTCGACTCCACAGCCCTGTTGGGAACGCTAACGTGTGTAAGTGCATTCATCTGAAAACATCGTCTTTTTTCTTCATAAGAATATGAAAGCAACACTTATTGCTGTTCATATATGTTTTAAATAATACTTACTAATGTAAACAAAAATTCTATTCACCGATGGTGGTAAAGTCTGAAACATAAGGACAGCCAATGGATGTTGTGCAGGTTTTTACTCATGATGAAGTCATCAGGTACAACTCTGGCTGAAGCTGTACCATAAAGATGTCATAGCTGTTGCTGAAACTATTACTGAACCTGAAGTTGTTGCTGAAGCTGCTTATGATGCTGAATTTGATGGTTTAAGCCTTCGTCTAATAAAGCTGTCGAAAGAACTTTTGCACAGCTGTTTTCTTTTCTCATTATACATCTTTATGTAGAAGTCATATGCATTTTTCCTGTCCTTGTTAATTTTAATGCTTTGTTCTGTTATTGGATCCACTTTAGAAAGTAGGTTTATTGTTTGCTCCATATAATATCCACAGACCTCTCTCACCCTTTTCATATCGTTTTAACACATCTAGTTTCTCGGCTAAGCTTATACACTTTCCTTTAACTTTTGAACCAGCACTACCATCACTTGCTCTCTTGCTTATGTTGAATAGGGATGCAAAAATGCCATAAGAAATCTGAGAATGTTTTTCTCCTTTTCCTGTTCACATGCATGAAAACAAAAGGCCTGCCAAGCTGCAATTGTGTATACTAGTGATGCTGGCGTCACCATTCACAAGCCGGGCAGCTTCTGTATGCAAGGCGTGTTTTTTTTTTTTTATAATACATATCAGGATTTAGTTATTTATATGAAAATGTAATTTTATTTTAATTTTTATTCTATTTTTGTTGCAAATGTGAAGAAAATAATGGTGTAAATTGAATTGGGTCCTAAATCAACCAGGGTCTTAAACATGAATCGTCGTTAGTAGAACCGTCCTATCAGAGGCTTTCCTGTATGTTTATATTCGACTGAACAGGTGCAAAGCTTGTGACAGGTTTTTGGTTGCTCAATGCTACCACTGCCAAACATTTGGACACATTGTCCCAGGAAGCCTGGTTCTTCAGTTTGTGCTCAAATGAGACCTCACCCTCTTGTGCAAATTGTTCCACTCTTGCAGTACAGGTTGTACCTCTCTAGTCCGGCATTCTGTGGTCCGGAACGATTTTAGTTTGTCCAATAGGTAGATAGGCAGGTGAATTATTATTATTATTACAGGAGTTATTAAACAGGAGTATTAAATTGCCCCTCAGGCCCAATGTGGGTCAGTGACCTATGCCCGGGTGGGCTAATCCCCTTAAAAAAAAAAGCCGCGGGAAATTAAGGTTTGTTTACATCCGGCAGTTCGGCTGCTCTCTCTCTCTCTCTCTGCTTGTCTATACAGAGTACAACATTTAACCCTTCAATATATATGAGCAGTAAATAAGTGTTGCTTTCATATTCTTATGTAGAGTAATGACGATATATTTTCACATGTGCGCACTTACATACGAGCAGTCTCACTTTTTTTTTTACCATTAATGGTTAGCTACTTATATTGTTCCATTTATTAACATTAAATAACATTACAGGTACTTCAAGCAACCATATTCATTTTTTACATTAATTTTACTACAGCTAAACTCAGGGTCTTATTTTCTTCAGTTTTATATGTAGAACCAATCAGTCACTGGTTTCGTAAGCTTTAACATAAACAATGCCGGCAGCCGTCTCGTCTCCTCTAATATTCCACGTATTATTAATAAATTGTATTGTTAATTTTGCACACACGTACATTAATTCAATAAAAACAAATTCAGAAACATTAATTAAAATATATATGAACAGTAAATAAGTGTTGCTTTCATATTCTTATGTAAAGTAATGATGATATGTTTTCACGTGTGCGCATGCGCACTTACATATGCGATCTCTCTTTTTCTTTACCATTATCGTTAGCTACTTCTATTGTTCCATTTATTAACATTAAATAACATTACTTAAAACAACCATATTAATTTTACTACAGCTACAACCAAGGTCTTATTTTCTTCAGTTTTATATGTAGAACCAGTCAGTCACTGGTTTTGTAATCAACGAAAACAATGCTGTGTCATTTCCTCGTGTGTTTTAATATTCTACGTATTATTAATGAATTGTATTGCTCATTTTGCACACATAAACATTAATTCAATAAAAAAGATATTCAGTAATAAACAATAATTAATCTTTTGTACATAAGAGAAATGACGCTGTTTACATGATTATGCACGTCGTCTGCACGTTGGCGGGCCATTCAAACCCGTCGAAATTCAAGTTTCCGCCGTCAAAATTTTTATTTATTTATTTTTTTGTGTTCTAATAAAATACGTTAAGAATTAAAAACTCACAAAATTTGAGAAGCTACTATACGACATTTAACCCTTCAATATGTCTTCAAAGAGACCATGACGAAGAGAAAGTGGTGCTAGTGCTTCCAGGCATAAGCACAAGTCACTATCTATCCAGGAAAAGGGTGAATTTCCATGGTCCGGCACCGGTCAGGTCCCGAGGTTGCCGGACTAGAGAGGTTCAACCTGTACTACCCGAGCTAGTCAATCAGTTTGCTTCGAGTAAATATTGCCCTATGATGACTTCCCAATGTGAAAAAAATAATAATAATAGTAATTATAATTCAAAACTGACTTTACTTGTTAAAAAAAAATAGTGCCCCCCTTGAACCTATAAAAAGTAGGTCTGCTTAATATCCGTGTGATCCTAAACAACATGTCACATTAATGAGTTTCTGAGGGAGTTCTGCTTGGATATCCTCTCTGTATGAATCAGACATCAACATTATTCATAGTGCTCTTCCCAAGACACATTCTTTTGCTGCAGGAACTTCAGGTGGTGTTGATATATTCTGTGGCTCTGCTCAACATTAGGCTAATTAGTAGTGACTGTTTTTTCCTCCTTTGAATTTATGGAGGCATTAATAAACCTTCATCGCCAAGTTATTAGAATTGCTGTTGAGTATCGCCCTGGTCACCCATATACAGATAGGAAGTTCATGGATTAATTTGACTTGTTTCTTGAGACGTTATCAGGAAAAATGGGTGACAGTTGATCTGTGATGACATTAATTATTGGGTTGACAACCCTTCTCTGAAACCTATTTCCTCCGAGTTCTTAGAATTCTCGACCTAAACAATTTTATAAATCGTGTCGTGTTCAACACATTGTTCTGGATACACTCCAGACCTAGTTTTGTCTCGTGCTGACTGTGATCGTGTATTTGATATTGCAGTTGACATAATCGATCCAGCAGTCTCTGACCATGCTTTGGTTACTTTAGGTTTTAATGTCCCAAGACCCCCTTCTTACAGAACATGATTGATGAGGAAGTTGACCGTTCTTTGAACTGGGTCGACTCCTCTGTTTTGTCCTCTGATGTGATGGTTAAATTACATCGGGATGTCTTTCACTCCATTTCAAACTGTTATTGTCTAGAGGTCACAAAAAGAATAACAGTATGGTCTAGAGGTCACAAAAAGATTAACAATATGAGATGACTCCATGTTATGACTCGTCTTGAAATTATCTTTGTAGGAGTGTAGAAGTGCTGAACGAGAGTGGCGCAGGCAGCATAGGGCTGTTGTTTGTTCAGTGAGGGCACGCAAAGTTGAATACTACAGAGTCAAGTAGCCTCTTGTGGCAGTGATAATGAAAAATTGTATTCAGTTATGAATGGACTGTTGGTCTGGAACTACTATCCTTTCTTTCCACTTCAAATGCTCAGATTTGTCCTTGTTTTTTTGTGACAAAGATATTACATATAAGATCCTGTAATGTATCTCTAAGGTGCCACTGGCTTATGAACATGCTGCAGACTTTATATGTAGAATCATAAATAAATATTTTGCAGAGGGCAATTTTGTGCCATCTGAGAAACAGGCTTTATTGTATCCACTTCTTAAGAAACCTGGTTTTGATACTGAAAATATGTCAAATTATTGTCCAGTCTCATCATCTGTTGCTCAGGTTCACTAGTCGTTTGATGTTCATGAAAATACACTCTCACTTGAGTCTTGTTTCTGAGAGTGATATTGATGTGTGATGGTTGGTGGAACCCTTTCAGACCCAGTTCCTTTGCAGTTTGGAATCTCACAGGGATCAATTTTGGGACCACTTCTATTTATAGTTTATACCAGTAGTCTTGTTGAGGATATTGAGGAGATAATGAAATCCTTGATGTCTGCTTCAGTAGTAAGATTTGGATGGCAAGGAGAAAATTTAAGCTAAGATTATCGTAGTTGTAGGTAGTAAGCAGCTACCAATCAGGGAGGTACTAATGCCTGGGAAGATATTGGAAGCATAATGTATTGTCTAATGGTAGACCCTGCTGCCAAGAACCAAGAATGACATGAGAACATAAGAAAATAAGGAGTCTGCAATAGGCCGGTTGGCATTAGAGTTAAGAATATGACAAGAGAGACTTAGCAGCATGGAGAGCTACCATCAGGTAATTGCAGCCAACCTATGCAAGTACTGTATAGAAAATAACCATAAAATGGTGTGATGATGTTAATAATCCATTTTTCCTGTTTTGAAGTATAATGTGTACTATATTATTGTTAATATTTTTATTGCAGTCTGTGCTGTCAGCGATGAGTCGCTACTTTCGTGGTGTGTTACAAGATAATCCCTGTCAACACCCAATCGTCATTATGCCTCACGATGTGCTCTATGAAGATCTTGTCAGCATTATTACTTATATATACAAGTAAGTTCAAAATGAACAATTACCATATATACTTGAGTATAGTTCGATTTTTTATGATAAAAATTTTTTTCAACATGTAGGGCCAAATATATATATATTGTACCTCTCTAGTCCGGCAACCTCGGGACCTGACCGGTGCCGGACCATGGAAATTCACCCTTTTCCTGGATAGATAGTGACTTGTGCTTATGCTTGGAAGCACTAGCACCACTTTCTCTGCATCATGGTCTCTTTTAAGACATATTGAAGGGTTAAATGTCGTATAGTAGCTTCTCAAATTTCGCGAGTTTTTAATTCAACGTATTTTATTGGAACACATACACAAAATAAAAATTTGACGGCGGAAACTTGAATTTCGACGGGTTTGAACGGCCCGCCAACGTACAGACAACGTGCATACTCGTGTAAACAGCGTCATTTCTCTTATGTACAAAAGATTCATTATTGTTTATTACTGAATGTCTTTTTTATTGAATTAATGTTTATGTGTGCAAAATGAGCAATACAATTCATTAATAATACGTAGAATATTTAAACACACGAGGAAATGACACAGCATTGTTTTCGTTGATTACAAAACCAGTGACTGACTGGTTCTACATATAAGACTGAAGAAAATAAGACTTTGGTTGTAGCTGTAGTAAAATTAATATGGTTGTTTTAAGTAATGTTATTTAATGTTAATAAATGGAACAATAGAAGTAGCTAACGATAATGGAAAAGAAGAAAGAGATCGCGTATGTAAGTGCGCACACGTGAAAACATACCGTCATTACTTTACACTAAGAATATGAAAGCAACACTTATTTACTGTTCATATATATTTTAATTAATGTTTCTGAATTTGTTTTTATTGAATTAATGTACGTGTGTGCAAAATTAACAATACAATTTATTAATAATAATACGTGGAATATTAGAGGAGACGAGACGGCTGCCGGCATTGTTTATGTTAAAGCTTACGAAACCAGTGACTGATTGGTTCTACATATAAAACTGAAGAAAATAAGACCCTGATTGTAGCTGTAGTAAAATTAATGTAAAAAAAAATAATTTGGTTGTTTGAAGTACCTGTAATGTTATTTAATGTTAATTAATGGAACAATATAAGTAGCTAACCATTAATGGTAAAAAAAAGTGAGACTGCGTGTATGTAAGTGCTCACATGTGAAAACATATCGTCATTATTCTACATAAGAATATGAAAGCAACACTTATTTACTGCTCATACATATTGAAGGGTTAAATGTTGTACTCTGTATAGACAAGCAGAGAGAGAGAGAGAGAGAGCAGCCGAACTGCCGGATGTAAACAAACCTTAATTTCCCGCGGCTTTGTTGTTTTTTTTCAGGGATTAGCCCACCCGGGCATAGGTCGCTGACCCACATTGGGCCTGAGGGGCAAAAATTTAATACTCCTGTAATAATAATAATAATAATTCAGATAAGTAAAAAAAAAAAAATTGCAAATCTACCTATTGGACAAACTAAAATCGTTCCGGACCACAGAATGCCGGACTAGAGAGGTACAACCGGTGTATATATATATATACAATCAACACCTCAACCCGTCAGGATTCGAACTCACAGCCCACGAGCCTATGACTGTGACTGGGGAGCGCTAACCGCTAATGAAATATATATACAGTATTACCCCGCCTAACGCGGTTTCACTTAACGCGTTTTATCATATACGCGGTGCCTCGCCAGAGCTGAACTTTCACTTAACACGGATTATTTCCACATATACGCGGTGAGTGTCCGGCTCGAGACGCTATTTTTAGATTTGCCCCACCCGCCACCCTGCCTGACTGCCTGTTTTAGCTCATAAAATTCATACAAATTACCCGGCCAGAATATAATTTACATTGCTGGAATTCTTATAATTTGGTGATCATTTTGAATATAAACATCATATATTTTGCTTTAAACTTACAATTTTTAGATAAAATTTTTTCTCTAGGTAACTATGGTATCTTTTGTGCAAAATATATGACATTTATATTCAAAATATTCCTGGTCTTACAAGGAATCCAGCAATGTCAATTATATTATCCTAACTTTAGTTTGAGGTATTATTTATTAAAATTTAGTGGTTATCCCACACATCTCCTTGGGACGGTTGGTGGGGGGTGGGGGGGAGGGAGGGACCGACCGACCATCTGTTACCCCGTGAAGAATTTTTTTTTTTTTTATTAACTGAAGATATTTGTTTTAGCTCATAAAATTCATACAAATTACCCGGTCAGAATATAATTTACATTGCTGGAATTCTTATAATTTGGTGATCATTTTGAATATAAACATCATATATTTTGCATTAAACATACAAATTTTAGATAAAAATTTTTCTCTAGGTAACTATGTTATCTTTTGTGCAAAATATATGACATTTATATTCAAAATATTCCTGGTCTTACAAGGAATCCAGCAATGTCAATTGTATTATCCTAACTTTAGTTTGAGGTATTATTTATTAAAATTTAGTGGTTTTCCCCAAAAATTTCTCTGAGAGGGAAGAGCCGAGTGTAGTGTGAGAGGGGGAGGGAGTTGAGTCCATTATTTGAATGGACATTAACTTGGCGACTGTATTTCTCTATTTCTCTTAAGTATTAATTGTGTGCATGTACCATCATAAAATTAAGATGTTATTTTTACTACAACATAGGTATGTGCTTCAAAAAGTGGAGTTTGGGGGTCGGGCCGGTTTCTATTGGAATTAATCCCATATGTTCTGTTGTTCACTTAACGGGACCCTCTGGGTTCTATTGACCGCGTTAAGTGGGGTACAAGTATATATATATATATATATATATATATTTTTTTATATTAAAACTATTCTGTAGCATTTTAAGATGCATTGAGAAGTTAGTCTTCCCCTCCCCATGGGAACTTATCTCAGCTTTTATAATGGGAGTCTGTGCTTCACTTAACAAAATATCAATTTACAAGAGATTTTTCAGGAACAGAACCATATCATAAATTGAGGTATGCCTGTATATTAACCCTTTTTTTACAGGTTACCTCTGAGCTGAATAAAATCATCATGAGTTAACCAAATAAGGTATTAAAAGTGGTGTCCTTATAGTGAAAGAGTTAATAATAATTCTTCAAAACTAGTTATCACAGAAATCAATCCATACATTCATTTGGCCATAAAATAGAAATTTACACTTCAATTCTTTCTATGTCCTCATAATACTAATGTAAAGTTCTTTTTTTACAGGGGTGAAATTTCTGTTGCAGTGGAGAAGGTGGCATCAGTACTAACTGTTGCTAAAGTTCTTCAGATTCATGGAATGACTTCATCTGACCGTGTCTCTATGGATGGACATAATGAAGGCTCTTCTGTAGTTGGCACAGCTATTCCTCATACAAGTTCCTCAGCAATGTACAATATCCATAATGTCGCATTACCAAAAACTGAACCTTTAGAAGGAGTTATATCCCAAAATGCTATCCAGAATAATGTAACTCATTTTAGATGTAATAGTTACTTGGAAACACCAGTGGGATGGCAACAGCGTAATGTTTCCACAATAAAAAATCAAAATAATTTACCCATATCACAAAATGTCAGCTGTCCTTTAAAGTTAACAAACAATGAAAATACATTATCATTGAAGATTCCCCGCAAATTGACACGCTCCCAGAATGTTTCTTCAGCAAAGACCAATTCACCATTAAAGGTTCCTCGCACATTGACAAGTTCCCAGAATGTTTATTCAACAAAGACCAATTCATCCAACATAATGTATGATGCTTCCTCAGTAATTGGTGTTCAGTTGAAGTTATCAGACAATACTCCAGTGTTCTCCAAAGCAGTGCCTTGTACAGCATATACTGAACCAATAGCAACTGTAACATCAGTGAGAGATCCACAGCCTAGTGGCAGCATGAATATGGAAATTCATTTGGTAGACCTTGGAAGTGTTAAAGAGGTAAGCTATTTTTTTCTTATGTAGAATTGAACTTTATCTGGCACTGAAGTCTCTCCGGGGTTTTCTCTTTCGTCAGATATTTAATTTTAGATGTATTTCCTGATTAGACTGACCTTACCTATAGTCTGAGAAGTGTGGTAGTGGCGTGGATACTGTGCTCGCCCTCTATTCAATGGGTCGGTGGTTTGATCCCTGGGCACTCCCATTTCACCCAGCTGTAGATGGGTACCAGAGTTTACAACTTGGGGTTGTGGACGTGGTCGAGTGCAGTACCGGCCATGCTGCCTCCTTGTGTACCAAAGACTTACGTCCGTATTATTAAACAACATCTTCCCTCTTCGTGTTTCAACCTGAGTTTTAAACTATAAATGAGTCCTGAGGGACACCTCAGTACAGTACTTAACGGGGTGGTGTGGTGGTAAACTTAACTAATTCCAATAAAATTAATTTATAATATTGGAATTAGTTAATTTTACCTCCACACCACCCCGTTAAGGGGGATAAAGTCAAAAGAGCTCGGCTATCAATTGGAAAAAGTTTGGAAATTACTGTATAGAAAAAATTTAAAACAAACACTAAACCCCCTAGTTTAAGGTAAGCCATGAATAATGTTTCCATGTACAATGAATGGCAAAAGTCGTGTCGTAAAATTTGGTGAAAACATATGCCGAAGGGCTAAACTTTTGGTGTGCTCTGCCTTGTGGTAGGGGCCTCTCATAATGTTCTACAAGTTATACTTAATCTTCGGACAAAACTGCGACACGACTCTTGTCTTTCATTGTACATATCGTGTGTCTGAGGTGTCTCCGTAGGTGTGAGTGTATTAACGGAATTAATCTCGATTTTGCGAATTAGTTCACTAAATCGAGTAAAAAATAGCGGAAAAAATTCCTTCCATTAAATCAAGAGTTCGTAATATCTGATTCCGTTAAATCGAGAGTATACTGTAAAATAATTTAACAGATGACTACTCCACTCACTGCTCAGTGGCAGTTATGTGTGTGTCATGACATGCGTAAGATGAGTGAAATTTGGTCTATTTATAACTTTTGCACTATTACTATGCCAAATGGAAAAATGTCTCTCTTTATTGTGATTATACAATAATTTTATCAACTTATAATTAGTGAATTTATGTCATAATAGTTGAAAAATCTTCAGAATTTCTCTTGTAGCAACCTTTGGCAACTACACTTTCCCAAGATGAATTTGCAAGCCGATTGTAATGGATACGAATCATTGTTTATATTTTCTTATTTTTATAACTAATCTAACTATTACTTAAGATAAATCAAGTAAAATTGGTAACCTTTTACTATTTTTTTGATGATATACATTTAGTAAACTACAATGTATCAACCTAATTTATATATTTATAATTTCGGTATACTGGAAGTATCTGTCATCATAGTCCAGAAGATCTCTAATGAAGATGCCACTGAGTGACGCTTTCCTACAAACTCTTCTCACCAACTTCAGTCCTGATGTTTATTTAATTGATTGCCGTATTCTTCCTATGAAATAAAAGTCTATTTTTATTTATTCATTTGATAGCTACATTATCTGGCATCACGATTATACATTTACGATATAATTTTTGCAAAACTTCAGTTAGTAAATAAATAGATAATGATGTGCGCTAGATCACATCATCCAACCACAAAGCGATACATCATATCAGAAGGCAGTGCTTATTTTGGATATCAATAAAAAATAAACTGTGGTGTGTTCATAAGTAAGTATTGGTCTATTGAATAAAAATGCTACACTATCCTGTAAACCCAAAACTTTGACTATCTTTATTTATATCTATAGTTACATTAGTAAAATATTATTATTGTGTTCACATACCTTTTAAAATTAATATAGGTTGTATTAAATTAAATACAGTGGTCCCTCGGTTAATGAACACAATTCGCTCCAGAAGGTCTTTCGTTAACCGAATCCATTGTTTCAATAGGATATTGGGTAATTGGTTCCAGCTCACTGAAAAGTACATACAAAGTAAAAAAAAAAAAAATGCAGTAAAGTACACTTACTTTGAGGTGTGTATGTAGAAGGCTCCTGGTTGATGATGGGAATTAGAAGTGGGGGTGGAGGAGAAGGGAGAAGATAAGGAAGTGGGGGATGGAGGAGAAGGGAGAAGAGAAGGAAGTGGTGTGGAGGAAAAATCACTTTCAGGGGACCCATGCTTGATGCCTCATTTCACCAATAAAATTTTAAGTTCACTAGGTGTAATTCAAGATTATTTTCTTTAAATCAACACTGCACTACGCTATATATTATCAATATGTTAACTAAAGTACAGAATGACCAATAATTTCAATGAAAAATGAAAAAATATTCAAGACGCCAACACAATAGGTGCTTTCTCGATTGTAAACAAAGCCAGACTGAACCTGTACAGGGAGTACTGCATATAATATTATCAATATATTAAATAAATGTTAAAATGACTAATAATTTTAATATAAAACATTCAAAAATATTAAAAAGCTCAAATTTATTGATACTGTACAGGGTATTTACTCCATTGGAAACAAATTTAAACATAGAACAGATTACTGAATTGGCAGACTGGGCCATCAGCTGACCAGCTGATGCTCACAACAAAACGTGATTTTCGTTAATCAAATTTTTGTTCGTTAACCAAATTGAAGATTCTTATGGAAGGTAATTCGCTAACTGAGGCATTCGTTAACCGAGGGACCACTGTACTGTATTTAAGGTACCAGTTTTTTATGCCATATGCTGCCAGTTTCACATGGCCCAAGTTTTTTGACACTAATATGTTTACCTGTACATCACTTTTAAATTTCTATCCTTTACAACAGGAACTCATCGATATAGATGAAGAAGAATTATAAATTCATTCACCGAGGAATGCCTACCAGAGTCCAGACACTTTGAGGCTATGCAAGGACACCTGGTATTAATGGTATTACTGTACACTACATCCTTGACCACCGAAGGGTCAAGACGTACCTGGCGCTCCTCTCGGAGCAGCTAGGTCAACTGTTAAGTTGGCCCATACCAACTCCCTCCACTGAACCCTCCCCCCCACCAGAATATCAACAAGTTCTCGCCAGAAGTTACAATTTCATTTAGGAAAGGAATGGAACCAGTGTTAAACAGAGGTGAACAGTGGTGAACAGTGCGTAAGTCAGTGAGAACAACTCAACAGTAACAGTCGTACCCAACTTAACCTTCACACAGTGAGGTCCCAGGTACCCAGTGATAACGGCCCGTGAGATCCAAAAACAACCAGCGATGTGTTAATCCATCTACGATAGGAAGGACTGGGACCACACCTCACTCATATAACACCATCTGTGAGGGAATTACTATACCACGTCAGGTCCCTCATAACACCATCTGTGAGGGAATTACTACACCACGTGAGGCCCCTCATAACACCATCTGTGAGGGAATTACTACACCATGTGAGGCCCCTCATAACACCATCTGTGAGGGAATTACTACACCACGTCAGGTCCTTCATAACACCATCTGTGAGGGAACTACTACACCACGTGAGGCCCCTCATAACACCATCTGTGAGGGAACTACTACACCACATCAGGTCCCTCCTAACACCATCTGGGAGGGAGTTACTGCACTACATGTTTGCTGTTCAACACCTACATTAATCTGTATGCTCACTGTATGTTCCTTTACCTTCCTCTAATGAAGGCTTTTGTTAAACCACCAATGTATGTAATAAGTCATTGATGTCCAATGTATATTTTCAGCCTTCGGGCTGCAGAACTTTTTTAATAAACCGTTAATTATTATTATTATTATTACTACCAGTATACTCATTAATGCAATGGAGATTGAAATATATGTTGTAAGAAGCACAGGACAGCACTGAAGAATGTTGTGACATAGTTTTAATACAGCTAGACCCCGACTTACGACGGGGTTAGGGACCCAAATCCAGGTCGTAAATCCGACATAGATAAAAAAGAAAAAAAAAATTAAATAAAAAATCTTCAATGAAATACAGTACAGTAAAAGTAATAAATAATGAGGAATGGATACAGTGTGACTGAGCACTTACCTTTAATATAGTCAGCTGAATGCACATGGGGCCCCATAATTTTCTAATTATACATGGAGACTACATTAACTGGAAACGTTTCGATATAGAAAATGCGTGCGTCATTTGAAAAAAAAAATGGTCACAACTGCGGCGGTCGTAAGTCCAAGCAGTCGTAAGTTGGGGACTACCTGTACTTTCATCAACTGTTATCCTTATTTTGCATTATGTTTGTAAATCCCACATGTAACTAAATTCAGCTTGTGTGTGTGAATTTATGAACGAAGACAACTGATGGATATAGTTTTTTTTAAATTGCATGTTGCATATATATATATATATATATATATATATATATATATATATATATATATATATATATATATATATATATATATATATATATATATATATATATATATATATATATATATATATATATATAATTAAAAGTAAGGAAGATTTTATTAAGAGAGATATATAACTTGGTTTTCCAGAATTAGTTATTAAGCCAACTATTTTTATCAGTATTAGTGTGCATTAAAATGTTTATTGACAGTATTGGAAATACTGCATGACTCCCGAGATGGATGTGAATGCTATTTGGATGGCCATTCCAAGTTCATTACTAGACTACCCTTGTTAAAACACACAAGTATTAAAAGTTGTCTTCAAATATTAATGTATGTACATTCTATATGTTTATAAAAAAAAAATTCTGTGCTTAAATAATTTATTTTCTCAAAGTATTTATTGTATTTCTTTCAGTACTCTTACTTATTTGTTTATTTTCTCTTTCTTTCTCAGATGTACTTAGTTATTCAGTAAGTCCCCATTGAACGAAAGGGTTATGATCCACTAAAATGCTTTCGTTAGGTGGATTACATTTATCAAAACCATTTTTCCCATATAAATTAATGTAATAAGGGGGAATGTGTTCCTGTACTAAGCTCTTTGATAGATTTAATATACTGTACTAACTTGTGACAAAATAATTGCAACATCAAAATACTGAAGATAAAACAATAAAACATATAAAACATAAAGGTACATAAACAGAGTTGTCAATGGTTGTTTGTGAGAATATTAATTCATCACTAGTAATGATATAATGTTTCTTATTATGTTATCATAGGAAAATATATGGTTTATATAATTCGTTTATCACTGTTCCCGTCATCATTTTCAAATTACACTACATACAAGATGTGTATTTCTCCCATTCATATGCCTGGCTATGCCTGGCAATGGAGGCGGGTAAGGTGAATAAGTAGCTCCTAGTTGAGCGTCATCTGCAGTTGTAACTTTCCTTGCTCCCAACCATATTTCACTGGACTTACTGTTATTATTTGTGCTTACTGATATAATAGTGTATAATAGTGATTAATCATGGCAGTGTAGCTACATTAGACTCATCACTGTAACCCCCAGGCTAATGGGCCAAGCTGTGAGGTGTTAGTTGGCTCAATTAGGGAGACGGAGGAGGTACTATCGTGGACAAAAGTTCGCTCCCTGTAGTGAAACTGAGACATGGGAATGAGTCTCCGAACTGACTTACCCTGATTGTTATCCGGTGCGGGTGTGCAGTGCGGGTCGATACTGCTTCAGTTTGGGAAGGAGCGAACTTTTGTCCACGTTAGTACCTCTCAATTGGTCTCTTGTTACTATGGTGAAGCAGGAAGTGTCTGCAATTGGTTATTATGTTAAACTTCAATTTGGCTTTTATTTACTGGTTTAGCAATTCAGTACTTTTTGTTGTACCACATTGTATCATGAATGAAATTCATAGTAGAATGAGAGAGAGAGAGGCAGAGTCGGTGAGATGCAGTGGATGGAAGGAAGTTGGTAAGTGACAAGGAGATGATGCATCTGTCGGTTTGTTTAGTAAACACTGGCTACAGGACTACCAGACAATTGAACAGCTGATGTCTACCCACAAAACTGAGGGTAAGTATAAATGAACAATGTTGTATTCCTAATACATTACATAAATTTAAAATTATAGAGTGAGAATAACAAAAAACAATGTACAGTATTGAACTATCATAAATGACAGTCATAGAATGAGAGAGAGAGAGGCAATGTCAGAAGGTGAAGCTGGACCCCCACCACTCGAGAAAAACCTTGAATTACCTGGACCAAGCCATGATTGTGTGAAAGAAATCATCGAGTTGGGGGGAGAAAATTAAGCTCATCCTTGACAACGACCCAGACAAGCATTGGTATGAAGTGTCTAATAGCCATCTGACGAAAGTTATGGAGCCGTATATTCAGATCTATCTCAACAAAATCAATGCTAGTCGTCAACGTAGTATTAAGAGCTTCCTTGCCCGCAACCAACCACAGCCAGCCCAAGTCAGTGATAGTGACAGTGAGGATATGGAGGGGTTTGTCTGGGAGGCCCTGCAAACCTCTGCGAGTAGTGAAAGTGACTCACCGGAGGGCAACTAATCTGCCCTCTGCCTCGGAACCAACCGCCATCCATCTGTGCCGACCCATCTTTTCTACTAACATAAGTGTTAAAAAACCTAATATTATTGATATTTCTCTTAAATATTAATTGTGTGTGCATACCATCATAAAATTAAGATGTTATTTTTACTACAAGGTATGTATTGTGTCGGAAAAAGTGGAGTTTGGGGGTTGACCCAGTCTCTATTTCAATTAATCCCGTATGTTGTTATTTCGTTTACCCGGACCTCCACGGGTTCAATTGACCGCGTAAATGCAGACTATACTGTATTATGTTTTCATGTTTACCTAGCATCAGGCATTCTCAAAACGAAGTCTAGACAATGTCATTACTTTTAAATTGACTTGTATCTCCATCCGTGGTGGGTTGTGGGCGAAGAAGTCAGTGATGTTACGCTGACGGCTAGTGTTGATGTGGTCGTGATACATCTGTATGTACTGCTCCATACTTTGATCTAGAAGGTCATTGAAGACTTCATGCCGGTGATTGACATGGTCTTTTGAAAGGGTGAGCTTTAGTTTCTCGGCAAACTCGATGGCATCCTTTACATCACCATGAGTTAACTTCTGTTGTTCTCATCTTCTAACAACTCGTCGGCAGTCACCTCAGGATCCCTGATTACCTCCATGATGTCGTCGTTGGTGGTCTCGGAGAAGCCTGCAGCTGTAACACTCTGTGCAGCTTCTCTTGGATCCGCTACCACACATAACCATCACCGGCACGGTTCGCACGGATACACCACGCTCACATGCACGGTGTTACTTTAGACGTACTTGCTTCTGAAATCAACAGCTTTCTTCGTTAAACATTTACCAAAACTGTTTGCTTTCGCACCATCTGCTCAACTCTTGTTGTATCATAGCTTATAAGTCAGCTCTCTGCACCTCAGTACCCACTCAGAAGGGTTCAGCACTCATCACAGATGTTGGTACAGTGTTCAGAAGCTCTTTGCAGAGAATGCAGCCCTTAGCGTTGCATATCAACTCCTGGTCAAAAAGGGCTGGATTAACGGCGAAGTGTTGGGAGAGAAAAGAAGACCACTTTACATTGGGTGTGATCAGTAAGGAGTGTCCAGAGTGTCATCAAAGCAGCAACAAAATGTTAAGATGACATTATTTATGCGTACTAGAATTTCTTGGCGATGGGAACGAAACAGTCGTCAACCAGGAGAGGACAAATAGTGAACATCACTTACTTAGGTTAGCCAGTGGACATTTAGCTTGGTCATATCCATGTTCTTTTAGGCGTGGCAAATTACGGGCTATTATTGGATCACCCGTAACTGACTTACGTCACCGGAGTCGTGGTAAACAGGATGGTGATACGCTCCTGCAATTTCCGGCCCGACGCGGCGGCCGGACAACGAGTCTTGAAGTGTTTTAAAAGAGACGTATTCATCCATGTTGAACTTTCGGTCGTCGGTGTACTCTCATTCCTCCATAACTTCTCGTTTAGAATGGAGGAAAATCCATAAGCTGACAGCACGGTCAGCACTGGCCCTTCAATAACAAATATTGTTGGTAATCTTGATCACTTTCTTAAACATACCGCAG